ACTTTCTTGGAATATTTCCCCAATAATTGTCCATTTGTTTTTCAGGTTACAATGAACCACACAGTCCCTCATGTAAGTATATTTAAGGACATGGTAAAGCTACTCAGAGGCATAAATTGATTTTGCTTCCCCCTGTTTGTAACCTTGGAAGGTGTGCGTGGCTTTTTTGCTCTGAGATGCTCAATAACAGCCCTGTTATCATGCAGATTCTGTTCTTATTTAATCTGGCTGGGTTTTGTTCTCTCAGTGGTGAAACCAACCCCCACACCAACAACCCCAGGACCCACAGCAGAGCACTTCACCCTCAACTTCACCATAACCAACCTGATGTTCACAAGAGACCTGGAGACACCAAACTCTGCCCGGTTCCGTTCGGCGGAGAGGATAATGCGACACTACGTAAGCCAAAGCCACGCTGTTTGTCACTGAAACCACCCAGATTTTGGGGTTTCCCCTGGTCACAAAGGTTTTTTTCCTTGTCAGATTGACCCCCTGCTTCAGAGGAGCAGCATTGGCCCCTATTTCTCTGGCTGCAAAGTAACAGGATTCAGGTGAGCAATAAAGTGAAAGATTAACTTTGAGTTGCAGCAGATGGATTTCCTTAAGTTTGACTGGCACTTCCTTTCCCTTTTTCAAGTAGTTTTCATCACCATAATAAAGCTTCTGTGCCCTTCTTTCTGTTGTCTTTTTCTTCCAAAGCCTTTTTCTTTGTCAGACCACACCATTGCAGCCCATCTGAGGACTGTGGACAGATTTGTTTGGGGTTTTTTCAATCACATCAGTAAAAGAAAAAAAAAGGGAAAAAAAGGAGTTTTTAAATAACTAACAGAAGCTTCATGATACTGAATTCCTTAGGGCAATGAAGAAGAGGGATAGCACAGGAGTGGACACCATCTGCAGCTACAGAAACAGCTCCCAGGTGCCCAAGTTTAACGCCCCTGAGGTTTACCAGCAACTGAGGAACATGACAAGTGGCATCACCAAGTTAGGAATTTACAACCTGGACAGCAAGAGCCTCTATGTCAATGGTAAGTGTTTGATTTTTTCCTTCCTCTGGGCACTGAGCAGTTTGGGACCACGTGGGGTCTCAGGGATCACTTCAGTGTTAAAAAAGTGGCCTGAAGGAGAAGACCCCACTGGAGTTTTCTGTGTAAGATGAAGTGTAAGCTTTCAAATCTTCTCACACAGACATTTTTGAAGACTTTAATTTCTGTATTACACTGAAGAGTGACTTAATTTTAGTCTTGACCTCAGTCATTCACCTGCAGGTGAACATTTCACCTGCTTTCTATCCCACCAGTATTTAATTACAAGGAGGTTTTCTCATTGTAGTCACCACTCTTACAAAAGCACCTTGTTCTGCTTAAGCTTTGTTTGTTTTAACAGATTCACACCCTCGGGGGCAGGTTCTGATGATTCACTCCCAAGTCATCCATTTAATCATCCCCTCTCCACTTTCATTCTCTTAAGTGGATGGTTCTCTTACATAACATTTCTCTTGCATTTCCTCTCCAGGTTACAACGAACCCCTTCAGAGATCATGTAAGTATTTTGCTGAATTCACTGCAGGGAAAGGTGTCAAAGGAGTGGTGCCCTCAGAAAATAAGAGGGGAAGAGATCATTGAGAGGGGAAGAGATTATCCAGAGTAGCCTTGAAATGTGCTGGGGTTGGGAATGTCTTTGAAAGTGGAGGTAACTCTTTTGTGATAAATTCGTAATCCTTCTCCCCTTGGATTACAGCTCCAAGCACAACAACTGCACCAGGACCAACAACCAGGAATTTCACCCTTAACTTCACCCTGACCAACCTCCCCTACACCCCAGACCTGGATGTCCCAACGTCCCGCAAGTTCATTGCCACAGTGACTGTTCTCAACCACTATGTGAGTCTGGCTCTGGTTTGCCCATTTGGGGTTCTGCTGCTGCCCTTCATCCACCTGCATTAAACTCAGCACGTGATTTCCCCTTTTCCTCAACTGTGCTGGTTTTTTCTCCCTGACAGATTGACCCTCTGTTCAAAAGAAGCAGCGTAAGCTCTGCCTACACAGGATGTAAAACGATGAGATTCAGGTGAGAATCTTAGGATGGATCAGGTTGGAAGGGCCCACAGTGTGTCATCTGCTCCAGCAGGGCCATCCCAGAGCTCATGGCACAGGGTTGAGTCCAGATGGTTCTGGAATATCTCCAAGGAGGGAGACTCCACACCCTCTCTGGTCTCTGCTCAGTGCTTGCTCACTGCACAGGGAAGTTCTTCCTCATGTTCAGATGGAACTTCTTGGGCATCAGTTCCTGCCTGTTGCTTCTTAATACTTGACACCACCAAGAGAAGTCTGGCCCCACCTTCTGACACCTCCCTGAAACTATCTTTATTTTTCTGGTACTAAAAGTATCTGAAAGTACCTTCAAAGACTCCTGAAAGAGGAATTAACCTTTATCTGCTCTTACCCACCTGAAATTTGCACCAATTGTTGTAGTTGTTCTGATGTCAGAACAGAGGATCCTCCCTGTGGACACCTCCCTGTCCATTCACGATGGTAGAATCATTTTCGTATCTAAATGTCATCTGCTGAAACCCATTACGGTGATTTTGGTGTCATTCCTGGTCATGCAAATCACACAGAGTGTCCTAAAGAACGTGCCTGATGTTTTTTTCCTCAGGGCTGGGAGACACAGGGATGCCACAGGAGTAGATGCCATCTGCAGCTACCAGGACAGTGCCAGCCTGGCCAGGTTTGACAGGGAACAGGTTTATCAGGAGCTGAGCACCATGACAGAGGGTGTCACCAAACTGGGGCACTACAGCCTGGACCAGAACAGCCTGTATGTCAATGGTGAGTACCCATGAGTGGATCATGATTTTGGGATCTCCTGGAGATCACTCCCCATCACTCCACTGGGGCTGGAGCGCTGAGGAACCCTTTGGTTGGTTGGTTTTCTGTAGGTTTTGACGCTGTGGCAAGACCAATCCAGCAGGATCTTGCCATTCTAGAAGCATCTCCAACCCTTAAATCACACAAATTCCTGGAGAATTTCATTATTATATCATATCACCTAAGCAGGGCTGCACATATATTGTTTTTTGGTGTGGATAGATCTGATGTAAAAATAAATTCACTCTGCTTTTTCTATTTAGGTTTTCCCCTCACAGAAACCACCAGAAAGCCTGTCTTTGTTGAAGCTCCAGGCAAAAAGGGCTACAGGCTGAGCTTTAGAATAGTCAATGAAAATCTAACCAACCCAGACTCTCAGTCTCCAGAGTACAAAGAAGTGGTGGAAAGCATCAACTAACAAGGTGAGGAGCTGCAGCTCAAATACCATCCTGTTTGGTCAATTTTTTGCCACGGTTTTACATCTTAATTTAAATTAAAAAAAAAAATATCAACATTTAGGAACAAAAATTTCTAGAATCTGAAAGATGAGATTGACCCAACCAATCCTGAGAATCTGGGTGCAGAAATCATCTCCAGCCAGAGGCACGGACTGTGAAAATCAGGAGGTTTGGGTGCTCTGTCAGATGCACAGGGACTCAGCATTTCAGTCCCCTCTCCAGAAGGGTTTGCAAATCCCTGCCAGCTTGGGGTCAACACATCCAGAACTCGCTGCTGAGAATCCAGCACGTTCCCTTCAGCAGCAACCCCCACCTACCAGGCTGATAACGCCCTAATTTGGCTCTTCTGATGAAACCGTAACGCTCTGTACTTCCAGTCCTGGCTGTGTGAGGTGTGCAGGAGCTGACAGCTGCCAGTCAGCAGACTGGGCTCTTTAACACTGGCAGCTTGCTCAGGATAAGGCAGGAAGATCTGCCAGGCTGGCAGTCAGATTCCATCACCAGAAGGCACATTCCAAAGTCGAGACCAACTCCCATGAAATCCAACCAGGAAACAAAAAAAACAAACAAAAAACACCCGAAGCCTGGGCTTTCTCCAGCATTCAAGTCCCTCCTGCTGGCCTAAAGCACCTTGCAGAGTGCCCAGGGCTCATTAATATTTACCATGACATTTGTCTTGCAGATGAATCAGCTGTACCGGCAGAGCCACCTGCGGGACCAGTTCCTGGGCTGCAACATCACCCGCCTGAGGTCTGGGATGTGAGCTGAGTGTGGCTGAAGGGTTGCCACGCCCTGGCAGCCTTCCCCCTGTGCCCAAGTGCCGTTGTCCCCTGTGGAAATCCTCCCCTTCCCTCTCATGTTGGAAATTTATGCCCTAAGAAGCCATTTCTAGGCTTCATCTGTCAGTTTGAGTTTTTTTCTGACTTGTTGTAAACTGATATTTGTCTCAGTCTCAGTCAGGCACTCTCAGGTTGCTGAGCATCCCAGGAATTACTGATTCCCATCCTCTTAATGGGAACTGATGGTCCTGTGACCTCTGCACTCCCCCCTCTTCACTTGAGGCTTTACAAGGCTTTAAAAGTGGGTTTCAGGTATAGCCGTGGTGTCCAGCTCTGGGTGGGAAGAGGCTTGGACAAGGGACCTTCCCAGAGCTTTTAAAAGCCCCAAACTGCTGATCTTTCATTGTGTTTGTGCAGTAAAGCCTAAGTTCACAGAGAGAACAGATAATATTTCCTTTGCTGTCCCTGTCCAAGGCAAAAACCCCCAAACCAGCCCATTCCCACATCGTTTTTCCACCCCGTTACTTTCAAACCCAGCACTCGGGAGGAGCAGAAACCCCTCAGCAAACTCCTTCCCACGTGAAGTTTTCTGCTCATCAGCCTCTTTACCACAGAACCTCTGTCCCTCTGCCCACAGGGCTGGATCCATAGTGGTCGACTGCCAGTGCTTCTTCCAGCCTGAACCCAACATCAACAGGGCTGTGGTTGAAAGGACCTTCCAGGATGGGACCTCCAATGAAACTGGACTGTGGCTGGGGAGCAGCTACAGCCTGCAGGAATTCTCAGTGGACAGTATGTAGAGCTCAAATCTCTGCCCAGGGTCCCCCCAGTCACCTCATTTTGCCACGGAATGCTCAGAATTCCCCATTTCTGGCCTATCAGAGCGGAAATAAATGTGGTTTTCAGTTGAATCGCTGAGTTCAGCTCTAAGTTGGGCCATTCAGACATTTAGTCTGGCTCAGTGTAACCCTTCAGTCTTCAATGGCTTAAGGTCTTGTTTTGATAAGTTAATGATAAGTTATTATCATAACTTATCAATAAGTTGTTACTCAAGATTGAGGTGTTATTCAGTATTAAGGTGTTACTCAATTTTAAGGCATTATTCTATTTTAAGATGTTACTCATTATTAAGGTGTTATTCAGTATTAAATGATTAGAACATGAAGTGGCATCTACTCATCAGAACTTCGACCATTCAGAGATAAACAGACTTCCAGGGTGTTTTTTCCAACCTACAGCATCCCAAATAAAGGAGTGGCTGAAGGACTGATTGGGAATTTCCTGTCAGACCCCAGTTAAATTCAGTTCTGTTTATCTTAGACCAGTGAAAAGTCTTTGGTGGAAGAGCCCCATTTTCTCTCTGCTGGAATTCAGACTGGCTTTTCCCCCTCCATTTCCAGCCTTGGAATTAGCCATCGAGGCGGCAACTTACAAAACACCCCTCAAGTCCGGGAAGGAAAACTTCGGCTTGAATTTCCGGATCTCCAACCTGCCCTTCTCGCCACAGCTGCAGGACCCCAGGTCACACGTGTACCAAGTGAACAAGGAGAAGATCGAGAAAGAGGTGAAATGAGCAGCTGTAGCTCGAGCTGCCTGCCCGAAGGATGAGTTAAACTGACTCTGTTTTCATCCACTGTTCCGTTTCTCCCATCAGCTCGATGTGTTCAGGACCAGCCACCTGAAGGAGCACTTCGCCGGCTGTACCGTGGAGAGTTTTGGGTGAGTCCTGCTTGGAAAGTGGCTTTTCCTTGCGCCCCAAAGAGCAGCCCGGGAGGGCATTCAGGGTCATAGCGGGTTGTTCACGCCTCACTGGCGGCCTTTGTGCTCCGGTTGACACACGGGAGGCACCTTCATTGAGGTTCTTCTCTTACCACAAAAGGTTTCTGTCCGAAGGGGAGGTGGTTTTGTTTCCGTGCTTGCAAAGCATAAACAATTCCGGAGGAAAACAAACACGTTTCTTTCTCTTATTTCAAGCACTCAAGCACACTAAAATTCCACCGACACACATCAGCAAAGCGATCAGCGGGACTGACCCCGCCCGGGGACAGGATCTGCCTGTGTGTCTCCAACACCTCTCTGGAGGAACAAAGAAGCCGAGTTGATTTACCTCTTAGAAATGGGGATTAACTCAGTGGGTGGTTTCACGAGGCTGCAAGGGCTCCTGTCTCGTCTGGAATAAACTCAAAAAGTGATCCCCTTGCTAATAAAACAATGCTGAGACACCTGCAAACCTGAATCTCCTACTCAGCTCTGCTTCCTCCTCTCTCCCCCACAATGACTCTGTGCCTGTCACCCTCCAGGCCTGTCCATGGGAAAGGATACACAGATGTCTTCTCCATCTGCAAGTTCACCCTGGATCCCCTGTCAGGGACTTTACAAAAGCAAGAGGTGTTTGAGGAGCTGAAACAACTGACCCAGGGGTTCACCAAGCTGGGCCCCAGCTACGAGCTGGAGGAGCAGAGCCTGGTTGTTGAAGGTGAGAGCTCTGCAGGGACATTTGGGGGATTCTTCTTGGGTTTAATCAGCTCCAGAGGCTTCTGTTTCTCATCTGTCCCACTCTTTTTTTTTCCAGGTTATTCTCCACTCAAGACAGATGAACCGGAGCCCGAAAGATCTGGTAAGTGCTTTTTGGGAGGGATTGACCCTACAGCCACTGAAGATTTGAACTAGAATAAATTAGCATTACATGCCTTGAAATGGAGGCTGGACCCTGGAAATGGAGACTAAACCCATGGAAGAGACCCAAAGTCTAGGCCTCTTGGTAGGCTGGCAGCAAACAGTGGGTACCACCAGAGCCAGCCAGGCTGAGGAGATGAAGGACAGGCAAAACCAATCCAAGTTGGGAAGATGGTTTAAAGCTCTGACATCAATAAATGTTTATAACTGCAGTATTTATAAAAAAATAAAATCTAAAACCCCCCAGATATGGTGGTGTAAGCACAGCCACCACCCCAGAACCAACAGCAAGCAGGAGAAAGAAAAAAAGTCCTCTGAAGTGTTGCATTTTTTTGTGCACCAGAAACACACTTGCAAATTAACTACAGCTTTTGCTGCCACCCTTAGCCCTGTCCCCTTCCCCAAAAGAGCCCAGCCAGCAGCTAAGAGAGAACTTTGTCCCTCTGAACATCCCTGAAGCCCTCTGAGGGCTCTGACTGTCACATTTAGAGTGGTAGATCCTCAGACCCTCACTCCATTTTATCCAAGTTCCTGTCATTTGGCCTCAGTGCTGTTGAACTTCGCCAGGGTGAGATTTCCCACTCTGAATCCCCTGTGGACGAGTCCAAAACCCTGATGTGCCCTTATTGTCCCTTTGCAGAGCTTCAGTTCTGGGCCATCATCCTCATCTGCATTTTCACCCTGCTTGGCTTCATCCTCCTCCTCTTCTTATGCTTCCTGGTAAGTGTCCCCTTTGCTGTCCCACCTGTCCCTGGGCTCCAGCAGTGCCCAGACACCTGGGGGCTCACAGGAGGGACATTCACATTCCCAAGAAGCCCAGTGGGAACAATATTCAACCTCCCAATAGCAAACGAGGTGCCAAATCCTGTTGTTACCGCCGGCTCTTCCCAGGGCTTTGAGCACAGGAGGGGATGGGGAAGGGAATTTCTATCCAGCTGAGTAGATTTCTAGGACAGGGAGCAGGATCTTCTTTCTAGAAAAGCAGCAGGGTCGGTCGTGGCTGAGCTCGAGTTTTTTTGCAGAGAGAAAAACAGCAACCCAAAGGTGAGGGCGAGCCCAAGATGACAGGTGGAATTAGGGCATGCCCTGCAGCGCTTCTTAAAACCTCTTCCCTGTTCAGTATCTGCAGAACGATCGGGTTACAGGCAAGGGAGGGCCAGAGACGACGTGTTTAATGACCACACCTAGAATTTCCTCCTCAGTGCTCTTAACCTGCAGGTTTTGCAGCCTGGCAGGGCCGAACTCCAGCTGCATATGCCTGGAAAAGGCAGGGGAAAACCCTCTTCCCATCTCTGGGGGTGGTTTGATGGGCATCAAAATCTTAACAGCACAGTTTTCAGAAGCAGCTGTTTGCTTTGCAGCAGCTGAAGGGAAGAGCTAAATCTGCAGAGAAGAAGAATTGCTCTCCTGAGAGGTTCAGGAGTGACAATTCCAGAGCCAGGGAGATTTAGGATAGGAAGAACCTCCATCTCAGAGCTGGGGGTTGTGCCAGTGTCATCCTCACAGCTTTGGACAAACCTCTCATTCCCCAAGTGGTTTGGAGGCATCTGATGATGGGCAAAGCACAGATTCCTATTTTTGCCATTAATTTTTGTCCTTTTCCCTCCAGGTCATCTCTTGCCTGAGGAGAAAGTCCCACCTGTACCAGGTCCAGCAAGGCTTGTACGGGTTGTACTTCCCACACCTGAGCACAGGAAAAGTGCATTGACAGATGAAGTCGGGTCCTCACAGACCTGTTTGTCCACTGATGAAGGAAAGATATTTATAAATACTAGAGAAATGTTTCTTTAATAAATTATTCTCAGCGTTTTCCTCTCATCTTGAGACGGATCTTTGCACTATTGCCAGAATTATTTTCATACTACAGGAAACTGCCAACAATGCAGATGCTGAGGAAAGTGGTTTTTTTTTTAAAGCACTGCAGTGTTTTATACTATGGCACAACCAACAGAAAATAAAGACCACAAAAAGGTCAAGTTCTACTCTTAAAGAGCTGCAGTTTGCAAGGCCCTTCAGTGTTAATGTCAGTTTTCTGAAAAAGGCTTAAAATTATACTAATTTATAGATTTTTGGGGACTGACTGTTGTAGCCTTAGAAATTTCACCTAGATTTTAGCTGTGTCATGACTTAGCTTTTGAAATGTAAATACCTTAAATTATCTACACTGTTTCGTATCTTAAATTAATTAAAATATTTCTATTTATAATTATGACAAGGGATGATGTGCAGATGCATTGTTAAATCCGAGCGGGGCACGGCCAGGCCGTGCCTTTGGTGATTGATTCCAGTTGAATAAAGGCCACATTTTACTGCCACAAAGTCGTTATTTCCTCTGTGTCAACACTTTTCACCCCAAATCACAAATTAAGCCCTGTGGAAATCCCTGGGGGTTTGCTCCTTGGTTGTCAGCCCAGAGCGTGGGGGCTGATCCAGGGACCAGGACCTTCTTCTGCCCCTCCAGCTCATCTCAGCCAGACAAAATCGCCCCAAAAGTCTCATTTTCTGCCCCAACTCTCTGCAGGAGACAGAGCTGATCTCTATATAATTATGATACTACCAATAGATGAGCTCTCCACTGAAAATGAAAGCATTAGAATTAATGAAACCACGGTTAGTCGTTAATCCTCCCACTCCAGGCGACGTTTCCACGAAACCAAACTGACTTTTGGGCTTTCAAAGTGAAGCTCAGGTTGGACCAGTTCGTTGTCCCCGGCTCAGTTTCCTCCCCAGAGGATTAGAAACCTGTTTGCCCGATCAAACAAAGGCTTTCAAGCCCCAATTGTTGTCGGCAAACATCAGATTAAAATGCCTGCAGAGCTGCTTGCAAAACACCCCCACGGGTGTCCTGTCCCCCAGCGTGTCCTGGCTGGAGCTGCCAACCTGTGACAGGAACTCTGGGAGTGGGAAGGACTTCCCAGCTTGGGGTCTGACCAGGGGCACTCAGGAAAAGCTGGGTCTAATCATAGAATCCTGGGATATCCTGAGCTGGGAGGGACCCACAAGGATCACCAATCCAACCCCTGTCCCTGCCCAGGACACCCCAACAATCCCCCCCTGTCCCTCAGAGCGTTGTCCAAACACTCCTGGAGCTCTGGCAGCCTTGGGGCCGTGCCCACTGCCCTGGGGAGCCTGGGCAGTGCCCACCACCCTCTGGGGGAAGAACCTTTCCCTGAGATCCATCCCAGCCCCCCTGGCACATCTTTATGCCTTTAGATCACCAGCTCCTGCCTGGGCAGCCCTGGGAAACCCCCTGGATCTTCATCCAGCTGTCTCTGCTGCACCTCTGTCTCCTTCACCCTGGTTCCCCTCTCCCCACAGAGTTTCTTACTCCCAGAAACACACAGGTGGTGCCACAGGCTGTGGAAATGTGGCAGTGAGCACTGGGAGAGGAAGGGGCTGTTTTTTGGACCTGTTTGGTAGATATTCTGAATTTTCTTTTGTACACCACGGCCACGGGGGAAGAGCTGCCCCTCGGCACCATGAGCCACGTCACCCCTTCCCACAGGATCTTCCCAGGATTTGCTGGGACCAGAGGAGAGGTCCAGCACACTCAGCAGGGCAGAGATGGCACCACTGTCCAGCTCAGGGACAAAAGGGAAGGCAGAAAATCCAGCAGTTTCCCAGGGAAGAACTCCAGGCCCAGGACAAACTGGGAGCACGGGGCACATGGAGCTGATCCAATGCAGGAAAGCTTCGGCCCTGATGCAACACAGCAGCACCCAGCTCTGCCTGACCTGTTCATGGGGATCCAAGGAGCCAAGGAAACCTTCCTGTGAGACCCCATTTCCCTAAGGAATTGTTCAGACATTCCTTTCTGCAGGAACATGCCAAACATCCCCCCCTGGCACCAGCAACTCCCTGGCAGACCAGGCTGTGCCAGCTGCCTCCAACCCCACACACAGCTCTGCCAGCAGGGGCAGGGAGTCAAACCCCAACCCCCAAAATTAAGAGCCAAAACTACACCTGGAAGGGGCACCAAGAGGGGGGGAAAACCTCTTGGAGCTCCCTGCCTGGTGTTGCAGCGAGCTCCAAGTTATGGCTGGACACCAAGCCAACGTTTGCTGCGGGGCTGAACAGTGACACAGGTGGCTCAGCCTGCCACCCTCAGTGGGTGAAGATGAGCAGTTGGACCTCAGGAATGTGCCCCAGAGCCGGTTCCATCCTGCAGCACCTCCCCTGCACAGTCACTCCCCCAGCACAACCTTTGCCTTTACTGCCCCTCTTCCCCTGTGGATGCACCAGGGCTTGTTCCTAAGCATGTCTATCCTCGTATTTGTCCTCACTCCACTCATCTCAGAGTCCCTGCTGCTACCAGGGTGTGAACTGGCATTTGGCAGCACCAGGATCACCTCTTCTCCCGTTCTGGACCTGCCTGGCACTGCCTTGGTAATCGCTGTCAAGTCAGACACAGTTTATCAATCTCCTTTTCGGCTCTTTAAACACTTCGTGCTGAACACTGGAAACAAGCCTGAAGTGCAGAGATAAGATTCAGCTGCCTCTCATCATTCTCCCCAGCAATTCCTTGGCAATTTGGCTCTCAAAGTTAGGAAAATGCTCCATCTGCTTTGGAAACAGAGGCCAAAAAGCCCTTTGTGCAGCAAGGACACCCTTCAGGGACTCACACACTCAGACACCTCTGTAACCTCGTGTTCTCAGCACCCACCCAGCACCATTTCCCAGCAGCAGAACTCCCTCCTGTTCCACCCTCCTCGGGAAAAACAGGAACAACCTGAGCTGCTGGTCCACTGCAGGATCCAGACCACCCACCCCATCTCCCACCTGGTCCCAGCTTCACTGCTGGGATTTACAGCTCCCTAGGAAAGGGCATATCCTTCCTGCTCCCCCTGCCCCCAATTCCTCCATCACTAATTACATCTCATCAGCCTTTCCCCTGCCCTGCTCCACTGGGAACCTCAGCCTGGGGCAGCCAGGAGAGCCCCAGGGTGCCCAGCCTGCCATTTAATTTGTGAAATGGCTGATTTATCAGCAAATGCATCATTTTGTCAGCACCGATCGCTGAATTCTATTCCCCTCCCATCAGCCTTCAAGAAGCAAATACAAATTTCCCTCTGAGCCACTGCTGGGCCTTTGCACAAACTCACCCAGTCCTCTCTGGTAAAAAAAAAAAAACAGATTTAGGGGCAGCAGGAGGAAGAAAATTAGGAAATTGCATTTTTATGCTTCACTTGGGAGTTTGCCCAAAGCACCCGTGAAAGGAGCACAGAGGCAATACAAAGTTTCAGCACTTGCTGGGGCTTCCCTGTTGGAAAAGCAGCTGGATCTGTGCTGCAAAGGGCCAGACAGTGACCACAGCACACAGGTCCTATAGCCTGGTGTCAGCTGGGGGGGTTTGGTGTCATCTGGGTGGGTTTGGTGTCATCTGGGTGGGTTTGGTGTCACCTACACCCTGCTCAAACAGCCTTGGGAATCCCAGTGGGACTGACCTTGCTCGGGGCACAGAGGTGGAAAATGCCATCTGTGGAGCTGGAGGTGCCTCCCTGCTCTGTAACCACCCCTTCCCAGCCCACCTTACCGGGTCTGAAGAGCCTCCCAGTGGTGCAGGGCCTGGAGCCCACCTGGGGCACCATCACAGCCCCACCTTCTCCTGCAGGTGCAGACAGAGCCAGGACCTGCCCCAGCAAGGCACGTCTGGGTCTTTTTGGGGGCAGGGCAGAGGTGCCTGGTGAGACCCCCCAGCACAGGGTCTGTTGCCAGGGCAGGGGTTCCATTGGCACCACCTCAGAGCTGGTGATGTCACGGTTCCCTTTGTGACATTCCCTCCAGTCCCACTGGTGATGGAGCCCCATGGAATGTGTCCCCTCCCCCTGGGGATGTTGTTGCCCCCCATCTCTGCAGGGACCCTGCCCACTCCCTGTGAGAACCTGGGCACTGCCACCACTGATCTTCCCCCAGAGGGTGGTGGGCACTGCCCAGGCTCCCCAGGGCAGTGGGCACGGCCCCAAGGCTGCCAGAGCTCCTGGAGCGTTTGGACAACGCTCTGAGGGACAGGGGGGATTGTTGGGGTGCCCTGGGCAGGGCCAGGAGTTGGACTGGATGGTCCTTGGGACACCCAGCCAGCTCAGGACATCCTGTGATTCGCTGATCACCCTCTCATCTTCTCAGAGGTATGATTATATAAATAATGTATATTTGTATATAAAATGACACATAAAATATATGTTTATATAATATATCAAGTGATATAAATTATATCATATGAATTATATAATATATAAAATATATAAATGTATACAAATAAATATATAATGTATATATAGTATATGTGACCATATAAATATGAAGTAATTATATTAATTTAAATAATAATTATTATTATTTTATTATTAATTTTGATTATTAATTAAATTTAATTTAATTAAATTAATTAATTTAATTAAATTAATTGAGACAAATATATATTTATATAAATAAATGTATTAGATATAAATATATAAAATAATATAAATTATATAATACATAAATTATAAAAATGTATACAAATAAATATATGTGTTTATAGTACACGCGAGTATATAAATATATAAATATATAATAATAATAATTTAAATTATTATGATTATTACTTTAATTAAATACATAGAGAAATTATATAATTTTGAAATTATATAAATAAATGTATTCTATATAAATATATAAAATAGTATAAATCCTATAAATAATTTACATAATATATAAAGTGATAAAAATACACACTGTGAATTAATCACCCACCAGCACATCACAGGCTCAGGGCTCACAGGGCAACCC